AATTATCTCTTAATTTTAATTATTTATTTTCTAATGGAAGTAGATATTTATTTTTAGTTATTTTTTAAGTATAAAATAGGTAAAGATAAAAATTGGTTTCAAATCTTTCACTTGAAGATAAAGCAAAAAAATCTATTATTCTAGTATAGAGGGAGTAATATTTAAGTAATGAAACTTATTGATTTTTTATTATCATAAAAAATTGTATAATTTCCTTTTAGGATTTAGAGTTGTTGATATTACAAATAAAATTGAATATTATGGCAATATTGAAGTTATATAGAATAGAATTGGATTGAAGTAAAAAAATTGAAAAAAAAAAAAGAAAGTACAAATTCATAAAGGGAACATATATGAATTCAATAAAAGGAAAAACCTTGGATATAGTTATATAGAGAAAAGCAATAGGAACATAAATTAGTATAAAAGAAAGATAAACTCGTATAAAGTGTAATTAGCTTGTAAAAAGAGAAAAAAAATTTGTTTGCTTGTAGAAAGTCATAGGGTAAAAAGATAGGATGTTGCCGTATTTTTGAATTATGTTAATGATTTGTGGAGACAAGAAAATCAGAGGTATATAGTATTATTTACAAGTTAATTACTTTGATACTTACTCTTTTAGTTTTTATAGCAATAATAAAAAAAAAGTATTTTCTACAATAAAAATTGTGAAAACGAGATTTCGCAATAAAATAAAAAATGAATCTCTCTCAAACTCTTTAATTGTTTATATTGAAAATAAAATAATTCAGTCATTTAGTGTAAACAATATTATAAATAGATTTTGTGACATGAAAATTTGTCAAATATTATTTTAATATATGATATAAAAATAAATTTTTAAAATTACAATACATTATTTTAGCCGGTCTCCCTGACTAAAATTCATGGCTCCGCCCTTGGTCATGATCGTGCTTGTTTATATTAACTAATAATAAGAAATGAAGGGGTACGTGCGATATTGACCAATCACATGTTTGAATTCATCACCTCTACATTGTTTTGTCTCATAAGTAAGTAGTAACAACAACGTTAACTAATTAATATTTCGAATTTCCAGGGTATTAAACCATTTTTATAGTATAATCGACTTTTTAAATCTAATAATTCATACCCAAACCTGAAGTACTTAAATTTAATTAATTGAAAGTTTAACTTCCACCAATAATTAAAAAAAAAAAATCCCCTTTCCAAAATTCCCAAGGTAAAAAAAAAAAAAAAAACCATTTTTAGAGTTGTGCGTAGTTGTTATTTGAGCTCTTTTAGGCAAGTGCAATAAACGCACATTTTGAACATTAATTTACATAAAAAAAATAAAAATTGATATTAATAATTTTAGTATTAATATCACTTAAATAATTTTAATTAAATAAAATAAATTTTATTTTTTTATATAAATTCATATATCAATAAAATGTATTTATTATACTATTACAAAATAAATATTAAAAATTTTTGGTACTTTTATATATACATGTACAATACTTTCCTTACACATTACAAGTATGAACTAATTACAAAACTAAATTACATTTAAAAAGTGTAAAACTCGACTAAATATGCATATAACAAGGCCAGATTTTTGAATCACAAGCAGGGGTGAAGTCAGGAATTTTAATCAGGGGGCCGGCTTTTCAAGTCTTAAAAAAATGTATTATAATTTTGAAATTTTACTTTTATATCATATATTAAAATAATACTTGACAAGTTTTCATGTCACAAAATTTATTCATAATATTGTTTACACTAAATGACAGAATTATTTTCTTTTCAATATAAACAATCAAAGAGTTTGAGAAAGATTCATCTTCTATTTTGTTGTAAAGTGTCGTTTTCATAATTTTCATGGTTGAAAATACTTTTTTTGTTATTGCTATGGAAACTGAAAAAGTAAACCATCAAAGTAATTAACTTGTAAATGAGACTATAAACCTCTGATTTTCTTGTTTCCACAAGTCATTGATATAGTTCAGAAATACGGTAACATCTTATCTTTTTACCCTATGACTTTCTACAAGCAAACAAAATTTTTCCCCCTTTTTACAAACTAATTACATTTTATACGAGTTTATCTTTCTTTTATACTACTTTATGTTTCTATTGTTTTTCTCTATATGACTATATCCAAAGTTTTATGGATTTGTACTTTCTTTCTTTTTTCAATTTTTTTATTCCGATCCAATTTTATTCCATATAACTTCAATATAACTTCAATATTACCATAATATTTAATTTTATTTGTAATCTTAACAACTCTAAATCCTAAAAGGAAATTATACAATTTTTTGTGATAATAAAAAATCAATAAGTTTCATTACTTAAATATTACTCCCTCTATACTAAAATAATATATTTTTTTGTTTTATCTTCAAATGAAAGATTTGAAAACAATTTTTATCTTTACCTATTTTATACTTAAAAAATAACTAAAAATAAATATCTACTTCCATTAGAAAATAAATAATTAAAGTTAAGAGATAATTACATGGTTAAAGTAGAAAAAACTATTTATCTTCCTCAAAATTAAAAAAAAAAACTATTATTTTGAGAAAAATTCTAAATAAAAAATATCAATTATTCTGGGATAGAGAGAGTATACTAATTTTTTTGTTAAAACATATTTACTAACAAGCATAAAACAAAATTTTAAAATAAAATGAAAAAAACTTATAAAACTTTAAAGTTGAAACCCAATATAATAATATATGATTCATATAAAAAGAGATAATGTTGTTTTTAGTATTTACCAAGAAGTTAGTGGTCATTTTGGTGGCTCCTTAATTTGTCTTCAAGCTTTCAATGAGGAGAGCAGTATTGCAGTGACTTGTATCGAGCTGCCACTAGAATCTCTTTTTTCTATTTTTTTTTTAAAGTTGATTAGTTGAAAGAAATTGACACCGGAACAGTGGGGTTGGATACCAGAGAAATGTCATAAAAGACATGAGAATTGTTTTTTTTTTTTTTTCTACAAAATTCAGTTGTGGGCCTTGAGATGTGTGGATTTTAATGGGTGGATTTTAAATAATAATAAGTAGTTAAATTGTTAAAATGAATAATT